GACTTTGGGAATTTTTTTTTTCTTAACTCAGTGGCATTTTAGAGGAGCAGGTAGGGGGCGGGTAGGTATCTGTTTTAAATGATCTGAAGGTGTCATGAGTATGAGCTTTGGACACGTCATCGACAGCTCGGGTCTTGTTCCGACAGCTTACTTGGTGAGTGAAATTGGACAACTTCCTTATGTCCAAGCTTTTAGTACCTTCAGAAAATGAAGGAGATCATAATGCCTTTCTAGTAAGGTAATCATGAGAAGGAGAAGGTTATGATAAAGACTGAATGAGAGACTGTGCATAGAGCACTCAAGTTACCAGTGCATTGGTTATTGTATGATTATTCCGGCTTTTTAATTTTATTTACTTTTTTAGTTTTTGCTCTAGGCATTGTCCTGTTCTATGGAAATTCTTTGCTGTTTATTAGATCGTGATGGCTTCCGTTGACCATAATACTAAAGAGTGGCCAGGCGCCGAGAGGCACATGGGGTGAACCCCTTGTCCACACAGGGAGTGGGTCAGATGTCACCAGAAGTGATGGTGGCACAAGGTGGGAGGTGACAAGTGTGATGGAAGATGAACAGGGTGGAGTCTGGCACAGGCCCGCTGATGGGAGCTGCTCTTCCATGGAGAGGCTGCCAGTGGCAGAGGAGGCAGTACCCTTGCGAGGCAGCTCTGCTGGGTGATTTGGGGTGTGGTTCCTGTCAGCAGAGCTGCTTTCTTTTCAAGGAAGTTACCACTAAACGTGTGTGTCCATCCAAAATCCATATGTTGGAGCCCGAAGCCCCAGTGTGGTGGTGTTTGTAGGTGGTTAGCTTTAGATGATGTCACAAGGGTGGGACCCCCACATTGGTATTAGTGCCCTTGTAAGAGGAAGAGAGCCCAGAGCCTGTGAGACACAGCAAGTAGGCTGTGTGTGTGAGTTACCAAGTGAACTCTCACCAGGAACCAGTCTACTGAAATCCTAATCTTGGCCTTCTCAGTATCTTTCTAAAGCTCTGAGAAGTGAATGTTACGCTGTCCAGTCTCAAGTATTTTGTTACAGCAGCTCAGCTGACTAAGACACGGGACTTCTGTGACCTTCCTGCTATCCCTGAAAGAGCTCCTTTTCTCTCCCATCAGCCAGAGTCTGCTGCTGGTTACTGGGAAGCCAACCATCACACCCTCAGGAGCAGGATCCCTCCTCAGCCTGTGGCACAGGGCCAGTCTCTGATCCTCCCTGCCTCCCCGTTTTCATCCTGCTCCAACAGGTGCCTTTGGGGTCTCCATTCAGCTTTGGGAGAGGGGGGTCAGATCTGCCTTGTTAATCACTATTGGATGGTGTGACATCAGACCACCCTGAGGGGCTCCGCTCAGTCTGGAGATAGGATTGCCCTTGCTCTGATGAGGAGGAAAGATGCACTCTTTGCACCTGGGCCAGTGCCAGCTTTCCTTAGCATGGGGGCAAGAAAATGACAAGTCCTTGGCAAGGCACTGGAGTGAGGTAAGCACCATGACTGCCTTTGCTAGAGCAGCCTCTCCAAATATTATAAAGCAAGGTGCAAGCTCATGAGACAGAAGGGAAAATCCAGGGCTGGCAGGGAGTCCTGGGAAAGGTTATCCGACAGGAGCCAACGCCAGCTCTTCCTCAGATGTTACCTTAGTTCTGATGGCTTTTCCTGGCAGTGTGCTGTCAGCTGCACTGCCGTAGAATACTACATATTTTTTTACTGCATAATTCTCATATTCGACTTATGTTATTATCTGTCTCTACTTTCCCCTTTCTGTGAATTCCTTAGTGTTGGGAACCAGTTCCGAGTATGGAGTCGGGTTTGGAAAAGCTCACATGAAGTGGGAAGTTGACAGCCCTTGTAAGAAAACCCTGGTTACTGTGACTTAGAGCGTGGGTGGGAGTTTATTTCCCACATAAATGTCCTGATGGGAGTTCCGCCCCCCCTTTAGGCAGGAACTGGGGCCCCTCTAGGAGCCGACTTCACTGCCTCCCGCGTGTGCCTCTGAGGCTCATGCCTGTCTGCCTTGGAGTAGGAGAAGGGTTCTGCGTGTGCAGCTTCACAACCTGGCCCTGGAGATGATCGCGTCACTTCCACTTCACACGTGATTGAAAAACATGTAGAACACAGTCACAATTCAGGGAAATGGGGAAGGGTCAGCCTCACCTGAGTGCAGGAAGAAAACGATGCGGGCTTGGCACACATCCTCTGGAATCTGGGCGGGGCCTCAAAGAAGAAGGAGGATTTCAAGGACAGAGCCGAGGTGATGACATTCCAGAGAGAGGCCGGCATACAAGAACTGCAGCGTGGAGAACAGGAGTGCAGGCGGGTGGTGAGGGGCTCAGGGCAAGGCACTCGATCCTCCCACCCTGGCAGTTTCCGCTCTGATTTCAGTACCTCAGGTGCAGCAGAGTCCAATGGGCCCCACTCACCTGGCCCAGGATGCCTGGTTCAGCTCTCAGCTCAAGCTGATGAGCAGTTCACTTGCATACTCTTCGTGCTTTGGTGTCCTCTTCTGCAGAAACGAAGACACCACAGAAACAGAACCACAAAAGTAATTTTTAAAGGTGGGATGATAGAAATAGTCCCTACTGCATAGGCATGGTGGAAATTAAATGAGTTAAAGCCTATAAAAGATTTAGAGGTGTGCTTGGCATTTGATAATTCAATAAACATAGTACTTTCCCTCTTTCCTGTATTCTATAGGTGTGTGCTCGTGAGTGTGCAAATTATAACAGCACCAGGACAGAGATATAGTAACATGTGGGTCAGAGTAAGAAGGGAGGAAGGTCAAGGGATTTGACTCCAGCTTTGTATTTTGGCTAATAATGTCCCAGCGCTCTTATTAATCTTAGTTAGCGCTTTAGACAGTAGTGCTGTCTTCTGATTGCCTTGCTGTCCCACCAATTATCAATCGGCTCTTCAGTGACATTTGGTTTTGCGGTTTGTATTTTGTGTTATGACGTAAATCTTTTTTCTCTCTCTCTCTCCTACCTTTTGTCTGAGATCTGGCTCCTTGGCACGAGGACCACAATGACACTCATTAGTATTGGTAGGACCTCGCCGGCTCCCTTAGAGCACAGCTCTGCTCGTGTGGGTCTTTGTGTCAGTGTGTGCTGGCTGTGCATGCAAGGTCATTGCCAGTTTCTGCATTATTTCCTCCTTGCTCTCTGTGTCCCTCTGGCTGCCCATGGGTTGCTTCCCACAGTCAAAGGATACCTGCACCCACTCTCCGTGCACCAGGGCCGCAAGTTCCTGGGGTCCTGTGGCAAGGTCTCCCAGCCAGCCTAGCAGCTGCCCCACGTACCGAGTACAAATCTGGCGGCCACTCCCTCTCCAACTGCTGGGACAGGTGATGGGTAGTGAGCGCTGACCTTTGATGAACTACCTCTGCATTCTTGCTTTATGGAGAGGCCAGGTGGGGCGATTTAACCAAGTCGCCAAATAAGAAAACACTGCACTGCACTTCGCAATCCAAAGAAAACTCGCTGGGCAACTTCTTGCATGGGGCTCACGCACCTTGAATGTCTGTCCTGGTGCTGGTAACTTGCCTGGCCAGTGATGGCCACTTTCAGCGGCATCCTGGGGGACAGGATTTGTTCCGTGCCTTGAGGGCATGCCGTCCCAGGTCAGCAGATGGCATTCTGATTGCTATTTCCAGCCTGGCTTACCTGACCATTCCTTCCCAGTATGAACAGCTGTTTCTTTCACTCCAGTTGCTGCCCGGCCGGATTGGTGATTTTTCTTCTGCCCTTTTGTTTGCGCGGAACATAAATCTTTTTCTGTTTCTGACCTGGCCTGCAGTTCCGTCCACCTGTGCCTGCCTTGAGCAATATATAACTCTCGCCAGGTTCCGTTTCCTTTGCTGGCTTCAGCCTATAAACCAAACTTTTTCTTGCCTTTCCTCCCTCTTCTGGGCTGATTCAGCACTCTCTCAGCACCCGGCTGCTGGTTAACACTTAAACACAAAACGTGCATTATTTTATGGGCCTGACCTGAACTAGCGGCTGGCAGAATGAGATGCACAGCAACAGACAGCTCAGTCCCATTTGTCTCCTTCCTCTCCTCTCCTTCAGTCCAAGGAGGCTTACTTTACACTAAGTTAGCAGCAAGTGTGCAAAATGAAAATGAGTTAATTGAATAACTGGTGCTTACAAAAGATTTTGTGCTGTCAAAGTACAGCCGGTCAACGGAGTCAGTCCAGTTAAATATTTAACAATGATCACAACAGTTGGATATGAATTTAAGAAAATCGTAAGAATCTGAGCTCTCAGGAAGTCACTCTGAGGATTCCAGGACATCACTAGTCAAATGCTATCGAATTTGCTAACTGTGGCAGCTGTTTCTCTGGTGTTTGGTTTGATAAATTTATTTTGGCTTTCTGGATTACAGAAGAAGTTCTCTATATGTTTTTCTTTTGCCTGTTTTAAAGGAGCGATATGATATTCTTAAATCACTATGGCTCACCTCTGGCTGGAAATCAAGATTAGCAAACTCTTCATGCAAGAAAGGTTGTAGCAAAAATTTAGGCAGAACGAGAGTACTCAGCTAGGGTTATAACAAGCTCTGTAGTTAAATGAATACTATCCTCATTTTATTAGGGTCCAGAGTCTTTTAAACACACACACACACACACACATACACACACACTCATGTAACTTGTATGTTATAGGTGGTAACTGGTGGGGAAACCTTAGCTATCTTCCCATTTCTTTTGAAAGGCAAGCTTCTAGGCTTGCAAGAAGGATCTCTTTCCTACCCTCCCTAGGTTTTGCTTGCGGTGGGTCAAGATTTGGTGTGTAATTAAAACCTAGGAATCTAAATGATGCGGAGAACCTATGCTACATACGCGATGTCATCAAACCGACGTAGGCTGCGTCAGCAGGCCATCAGACACCTGGATGAAAAATTCTGACACTCCAGCCCCTTTCAGAGCTGGCATGCTGAATCCCTTTTCAATTAACGGATCATCCCATTTCTTTAACAGAGCAAAGTAACACTGCGTGGTATTTGTATGCTGGTTTGTATCTTTTAATGTGTTTTCACATCTGTTGTCTTCTTTGATCCTCACATCAAAAGAGGATAGGAAGCATGGTGCACGGGACAGATGGGACTTGCCCATTTGTAGAAGAAACAACCAGGCATGCTTGGTAGTAGAGTCTGAGGGTTTGTGTCTCTGGTGCTGAGCCCCTGGCACCCTCCAGATCCTAACGTGCCATCCAGGCACTGAATCAAGTGTCCATTCTGCACCATGTAGCTCTGGGTGTGAATTCCAGTGCCAAGAACCTCTTTTCCTTGGGTCTTTGTAGTCCATCGATGGTACTAACCCTGTTTGCCAAGGAAATAGAGCATTTGGTTACTCCAAACACCTCATTTTCAGGAGTGTGGTTGTTAGTGGGTAGGAGTGTTAAAACTTGAGATGGCCAAGAGGAGTACCATCTACAAAGAATGATCAAAATACACACTGAATACTAATTTAAAAAATTTTTACATTAAGAGGCAATTGACATTAATCCCTGCAAGTACTCTCCTCCCCCCACACACACTTTAAACACACTTACTGTATCTAGGCATTCTTGCAGCTTTCTCAAACAGTTCCAGATTGGTCTTTCAGGATTGTCTTTTTTGGGTAAAATAAAAGATACAGCGAGTGCTGCTAGCAAGTGCCGTCCAACAGAAGGGCCAGCTTGTGAGAACATGGTGCTGTGTCCTGATGCACCTCAGTCACTGGATCTGGAACCCTGTGACTTCTGGCTTCCCCCAAAAGCCAAAGGGAGCATAAAAGGTAAACGTTTTTAACTGACCCAGGGTGCTGAGACACGAAAGAGCACTTCCAGAACTGCTTCAGACAGTGGCAAGGATGACGGGATAAGGGTGTTGGAAGTAAGGGGGCGGAGTTTGAGGCTGACTAAAGGCAATGTGTCCTGTACTGTAATATAGTTTTAAACATTTAAGGATTCACCATACTTTGCAATCACACCTCAGAGCTGAGTCTACTCACGTTAAAACTGTGTCGAAGCCCATTGGCTGCCTGCTGGTCACAGGGTTACGTCAGACACGTGAGGCCACACCCACCGCAGGGAGGGCGGTAGGAGCCTTCCCAGGGAGCTCTCTCACAGCGACCTTGCAGATAGATAAAGTCACGTTGTCTACATGGCTTTCAGCAAAACTAAAGACCTAAACACAGGTGTCCTTAAAAAAAAAAAATATGTATTATAAATAAATAAATAAGTAAACATATATATCTGTTTAAAAACATGAAATTCAGAGAAATGATGCATTCTCAAAATATTTAAAATAATTGTAGAAGCAATGATATTCTTTTCACCTGACTCCTCTGTATTGAGGCTTATTTAATAATTTGTGGATTCTTTAGGAATTTAAGACCAGTAAACAATTGGTTTGGGAGTTGGCCTCCTGAACCCACTAATCGCATTGTGCTTAAAATAATGGCAAATCTGGAACAAGAGATTGTTGCAGTGAAGCACTCTAATTACTTTTTTCCATTGATTCTCTCAAACTCCTTAGAAAGTTGGTATCATTGTGATCTCATTTCACAGATAGCGAGGCGGAGCCTCAGGGAACCTGGTGGCCTTACCCTTTGTGAATCAGTCTTGGTCTAAACAAACGAACAGAATCTGAGTCCAGAACCTGTGATTTTAAACACTGCTATTCTGCCTTCTTGTTCATATTTCATGATGAATGTTTGTGCGTTTGGATTTCTCGGATAAGCACTGAAATGAACTTCCAATTAAAAATATGGTAAATTCCTGGGCATGGTGACACATGCATGTACTCCCAATACTTGGGAGGCTGAGGCAGGAGGATCACTGTGAGTTTAAGAGCCTGGGTTACACAGTGAGTTTGAGACCAGCCTGGAAGACATAGTGAGCCCCTGTCTCTACAGGAAAAAAAATAAATGTACATATGTATATATAGTAAATTACTCGAAGTTTTCTTCTAAAAACATCTGGATTTGGTAATTGTGTAGCGCCTTCCTGAATTCATGTGAGAGGGCTCTCCAAGGTTGCTGATCACAGGACATGCCTTTAGAAGGACTCCTGGGTATGAAACTTCTGTAGCGAGTTCTATACCTTTAAAGAAAATTCTGAGCCTGCATAAACTCCTTCATAATTTGGGCTTTCGGACTAGAGCATAATGAAGATATATACTTAAAAAGATAACGAGCAGTGAGCAAATGATTATTAAACTGGGTCTGAAAGCCCGGTTATGTTTTCGCTTGCTTCTGGGTGATGAATAGGGTAGCAGGTTATGTTTTTTCCCTGCTCATCCATTCTGTAATGTCACCCACCAAATTTCGCTGGCTGATCAGTGCAGATTGAGTGAGAATATCACGGCACCAGCAGGCTTTCCTCGGGTGAAAGAACTTGGAATTTTTGATTTTTGAATCTGCCCCCTTCCCCCACTTAATAAAGGTGAACCCATGGAGAGCTTAAATGACCGACCTCAGGATGTCTCCTTTACAGCTCCTTCTCCCCTTGACTTAGCACGGGCTCTTTCAGTAAACAGCAACTTACCAAAGGAAATGCTACATAAAATTTTATACTTATATTCTGTTTCCCTTTTTAAGTTGCAAACTGTAGACCTTACTGCACTGCAATGGAAAGACCCCCTCAGGCAAGATGCATACAACGGAAAGCTATTTATAAGGTTTAAATTATCCATATTAACATACTTCAGATTCACCAGAGTGGCTCCTTGATGCCAAATCCAATCCACAGTGAAGCCTCCACACTGGGTCGTGTCGTCCACTACACAGATTCTCCCAGGGAGAAAGCGTCAAGGGAAACCACAGCACTACAAGATCCCTGCAGGAGTTAACCAATCTACCCCCTGCCTCTGGCAGGGCCAAAAGCAAAACCCATTTGGGGATCTATAGAGGCCAGTGTTGCTGCCTTGTTTGTAAAATCTGATTGGTTCCATCTCTTTCCATTTTTTAAGCGAAAGCTGTAGGCAAAGTATGAGAAAAAATGATTTATATATAGACATCCGTGTCTACAGCTGGCTCTTGATCATTAAGTATTTATTAAAATTCTCCCATATGTAAAGGACAGCATTAAGTTCTCAAGTTAACTCAATGCAGGGAAAAGTATGTGCACAATAGAGTTTGGTTAAGCGGACAGGATGTCCACCGGAAATGTTTATATTCCCACGGAAGGTGACACTTGATCGTGTGGACGTGAGTATCAGAGGCCTAGAGGACACCAGCACACGCAGTTCTGGTCACATTCCCCTGGACTTCTCGCTCTGTGCTTGCACATGCAGGGAATTTATTCACAGCGTTTCCAAATTATAAAAACTTAATTTTAGGGAGGTTAGAGACATCTCATTTTCCTATCTTGAATTCTTGCCAAAAACATATCTGCTGTCTGCTGCCGTTTGGATGTAAAACCCAGAGCGGCCGAGCTAAAGACTCCGCGCAGGGAAGAGGAGCTCAGCTTTCCCCTGAGCTAAGGGGTGGGCTTTCTCAGGGGAGAAAAGGGCTTACTGGTCCCTCACCCCCAGGGCTCCCCAGTTACGACTCCTGTATGAAATTAAATAGAAGGCTGGGTGGGACAGTCGTCTTTCACTCACCTGTGCCCTCAAAGAACTATTACGGGTTTCTTGTCCTGAAGCAGTATGTGACAGGGGCCCTTGTTTGTGAAGAGCCCCTGGTAATCAAGTCCCCAGCGTGTGGTGGTAAAGGGCAGTAATGGAGGCAGGTACAAGGTGTGCGGTGGAGGCTAAGAGGGGAAGACATCACTCAGCCAGGAGGTGAACAGACTGTTTCATCATTTGTGACATCTAAAGTGGGCTTTGGAGGATAGCGGGGTGCCCCAGATGGAGAAAGTGTGAGTCATTCTAGGCAGAGGACTGCGGTATAAACCGGTGGCCCCTGGAGACGAGTGGTTATAGAAGGACAAAGTGGAAGAGGGCCCATGAAGAGTCCAAGGAGAGGAGGCTGGGGTAGCAGCTCGATGCCACATCAGAAAGCCCCGTTGGTGAAACTAGGTTTGGAAGTTCAGAAGATAGAGGCCACGGGGGTCAGCTAGCGACCCCAGGGAAGGACACGCGTGGCTCAGGTGAGAGAGTGAGGGAATCCCGAGGTGGGGAAAGCAGAAGGCGGTTAGTCCGGAGGCCACGGTTGTTGTCCAGGTGGCAGAAGATGAGGGTTGGCCCTCTGTGGGGAGAGGGGGACTTGGCGATTGTTAGCCACAGAGGAGATGATTGGGACTTAAAGAGTGGGACCCTGTGGGCAAAGGATGGAGCAGCTGGGGACATTCTGAGCTGCTTTTGAGATCAGTGCGGCTCATGAACCTGAGAAGAGTATCACATTTAGAAGGAGTGGGGTCCGGAGCCTGGGAGTTTTTGAAACGAGTCGAATTGTAAGCGTGTTGTGTTTGTGGGATGAGCAGCCACAAACATGTTGTGTTTTGGGTGACCGGGTGATAGTTTTGAATACTACCCCTGATGATGGGCAGTTTCCCTGTCTGCACCCGCAAAGATAGTTGTGAGACCACTGACCTTGGCCACACTGTAGCTGGGTCACTCATGTGACCAGGCTTGTCCAACTTGCCATCAAGATGCCTCTAGCGGGGAGACTAGGTCTGGGGGCCAGGAGAGAGTTTCTTTCAAATGTCTGTTTTATCTGAAAAAGATGTCTAATGTCTGAATTCAGCTACATAAAAGATGTGTGTGCGTATATAAAGTTTTAAATTATTTACCAGTAAAGTTATGTGTATTAACCACTCCTCACCCAAAGGTACACATGTCCAGGGCTCCGAGCCCCCAGGTCTGCAGCTGCCCATACTCCTTGGAGTGCAAAGCACAGATCTAGAGGAGATCTGATTGTTACACTGTTGGATGTTCAGAAAGAGCCTCCTGGTCCTGCATGTTGGCCTCTTGAGTTTTGATATCCCAGAATTCCTTCGCTAAACCCTTGGGCAGAATCTGAACAAATACCAACTTTGTAAAAACAAAAACTAAAATTCAGAGCTGGTCTTCTTTCTTTCTGGAAAAAAACAAAAACCAGAACAGCTCCCAATACCAAATTAGATTCTTTTTCTTTGGCACTGGGGATTGAACCCAGGGCATTTGACTTTTATAAATTCACAAAGATAGGACACAGTAGGAAAAAAAAATCAAAGAATACACAGGTGCATAAAATATCAAGCAGGCGTTCACTGTCCTCTGTCTCCTTCCCTCCCCTCCCACCTCTCCGCAGGGCACCTCCTGGGTGACTGTTCCAAGGCCCTGAAGCTCACGGCAAGGCCTGGGTGCTGCCATAGCAATCTCTCCTGGGGGAGGCTAGGAATGCAGGCACACGGCCGACCCTGCTGGGTAGACAACCCACGTGATTGTTATCACCTTCCAGTCTGAGGATCAAACTTCTTGTACAACAAGGCGAAGGGAAAATGTACCTCCTCTCCCTTCACTCTAGAAATTAAAGTTTTTCTGTATTCCCCTTCCTGCTCCCCTGCTTGGTGTCCGTGCCTCACTGCTGAGGGAGGCAGTTAGTTCTGCATGCCTGGTCATGCAGACTTTGCTCTACCAGGATCAGTTCCCCTCTGCACTGAAGTCCCCAGCTCACCTGGTTCTTTGCAGAACCTTTCTGCCCTCAGACTTCCTAGAAAACTAAACACAAAATGCAGCACCAGGAAGAGTGAATCCAGATTCAGTGAGCCCTCTTAGCACCCTTGGGTGTCACTCTGAAGCCACTAGGGAAGCAGGCATGCTTGCTTCTTGTGACGAATAGCTCAGCTTCTGGGTGCCACTGATTGAGCCCCCCCACTTCAGGCTGTTGGGAGCCCTTGCTGGATGAGGAGATGTGGGTGGAGATATAGAAAAGACAGCCATGTTTTTTTTTTTTTTATAAAATTGGGCATACAAAACCAGTGCAGTGGTGTACATCTGCAATCCCAGAACTCTGGGAAGCTGAGGCAGGAGGATCACAAGTACAAGCCCAGGCTGGGCAACTTAGTGACTTAGGGAGACCCTGTTCCAAAAAAAATATACACAAATAAAAAAGAGCTGGGGAAGTAGGTCAGTGAGAGGGCCCTGGGTTTAATACCCAATTACCCCCCTACCCCCGCACACACAAAGAACAGAAAAAATGCATACCAGAAATGTTGGCCCAGGCCCAGGGCACCAGACACTCAAGCCAGCCTTCAGGTCTGTTACTCAGGCAGGAGAATGTGCTGGTCACACTCCTAACAGGTTTCAGAATCAGGCACTCTGGTCTACCTTTCTCCTGTGAGGAGGTTAAGTTTCAGGGAAGCTGGAACTTTCCAGGGGGCTGGAAAACATTATCAGAGTTAAGTTATGCCAGTGTGACCATGCCTGACCCTGCGGAGGTAGAGGGGAGGGATGTGGATATAAGTACACGTGTATTCAAACGACTGTGTGAGCTAGCTCAGGCTGCCACAGCTGGTAACACAGACTGCGTGGCCTGCACGGCAGACGCTTCTCACTGTTCTGGATGCTGGAAGTACAGCATCAGGCCGCACGCTGGGTCCTGTAAAAGGCTCCCTTCCTGGCTTGTAGGCAGCCCCCTTCTTCCTGTGTCTGCACACAGCAGAGAGAAAGATCATATCTTGTGTCCCTTCTTCTAAGAGGGCCCAAATCCTATTCAAGAGGGCTCTGTGCTCCAACTTCATCACCTCCCAGGGTCCCCTCTGAGGCCAGCATTCTGGGAGTGAAGGCTTCTTTCTACACAGCGGTTGGGCTGGGGATGCACTCACTCACTCCATAGTGACTACTAAGAGGATTATGTAAATTAGACACATTGCTTTGTTTACTCACTTGACATATAAATCGGACAGGGGACAGCTTAGTGTTTTCCAGTCTAAGCTTCATTTTGATATATCTGAAACTCCCCCCTTTGGTGCCGGGATTCTGATGCCTTTCTTATCTCGCTCTCACCACCTCTGTCTCCACTGCACATCAGCTAATTTTTAGACTTTAGTTTCTATATTGTGAAAGTAATGTTTTTTTTTTCATTTTCTGCTATAAGAGCATTTGCTGAATATATTTTCTCAAATGGCACACTATCTCCAGGCCTGAGGAATTTGATCCATCTCTTTGGGACAATGTGCTCCTGGGAAGGAATATCTTAGGAATTTAGTGCAGGGGCAATTCTGGAAATACACTGGTACCTCTGTTCACAGAGTTCATTCTTCAGTTTGCGACCACAATTCTAGTCGCAAACTGAATTGGAGGAGAATTGAATCACATTCAATGTTTAGATTCAATGTTGATGTTATGGAGAAATCTGATTCAGTTCTCCTCCAGTTCAGCTTGTGACCATAAACGTGGAAAGAATTAATCTCATGAATCAAGGTACCACTGTAATTATTTTGCAAAGATCAAGCTGGAAATGTGGGAAAAACAAAAAGGTAGCTTCTTCTGTGGGAGGAGGTGAGATAAAGTAGCAGGCAGGACAATGGATTTGGGGATATGATTGGTGTTTCTTTGACCATTTCTCAAATGTACTTTCCCGCAGATCTCTCCATGGGTCAGATATGATTCTGAGAAGGTATTTGGCTATTTCTAATTTTAGATACAGTTTGGAATTTCTTTAATAAGGAACTAATTTTTTTTTTCAGTGAAAATTAGCCTTTTTAGAGACTTGGGAGATGCCCTTCAGACAAGAAATTCCTACCAAAGTGTAGAGAATTGATGTGGTCATTCCTTAAAGTAGATTTTGATATGGGGTGGAGAAAGAACATGAGAATTTCACGGCCCTGAAAAAAATGGGGTGAAGAAGCCATAGGCAGGGATGGTGCTGATGTGGCTGCTTTAGCTGTTTTGCAGGAGTTTCAGTGTTTGAATGGCCTTGGACAGCTCCTGTCCATGTAAAGGTGGTGAGATACCAACGTGATGTTTCTGCTCAGTATCCCATTGGCACTGGACACATAGTAGATGCTCAGTGATGTTGGCTGAATAAGTGAATTCTTAACAATATTACTTGGTATTCTTCTCTAACTCTTGCTGCCCGTCACAAGTGAGGTAATGCCTGGTGGGCAGGTGGTTTGTAACATCCCAGAGCCTCAGTCTGCTGTATGCCTTACATCTGGACATCTTAAGAGAATGTTCTAGAAAATAATAGCTTTTGCACAATATCTGTAAGGCGCTACAGCTGTTATGAGCAAGTGTTGCAAGCCTGATCTTAAGTTTGTCAATATTACCTCGTGACAGTCTTCATGCCTTGGTTTCTCACCTGTCAAAAAAGAGATATAAATGTCTCATAGAGCTGCTGTGAGGATTGAGTGAGATGCGTGGGGTTGGAGGCCCAGGCAGGGCCCTCTGTGGGTGTTAAAAAAAATCCAGTTATCCTAAGTCTGTGATAGCAAACCTTTTAGAGCTGATAGAAGCAGCCTGCTGCGGGACTCGGGCCATAGCTTCTTCAGCACTGTGACCTAAGTCAGTGATGGCAGGCCTACAACTGGGTGGGGGTTGACATCTGCTTTTAGGTCTGTGGATTGTTTAAAAGTGGTGCATTTTAGAAGAATGATGTAGTCCTTTATGGAGACATTGCCTGGTTCTCAGGGTAGGGTGGAATTGCTGGGCTTTGACCCAACCAGAGATGCGGTTCAGAGTCTGTTCCCCCTGAGAAGCCTCTTAGATCCATGGCAAATTTTGTCACACTTTTCAGGAGCAATGGACTCTTTGGGTTGGCCTGGTGGCCTCAGAGCTAAATGTTCAGGTACCCGAGGCCTGGACATGAGCTTGACGGAGGCCAGGGCCTGTGACTTTTTCTCTGTAGCTGAAGTTTCTAGCCAGGGCCATGTAGGGGCAGGTCAGCACTTGCTGAGTAAATGGATGAATGAAGTAACACCCAAATGAAGTCTAGCCAGAGAAATGAGCCAGAAAAGTGAAAACAGCAGACCTGGAGAGTCGCACGCTTGTGTGGATGGAAACAAGGTTGGAATGTCACAGATGTCACAGGCAAGGAGCAGTGCGGATGGTAGGCCAGTGCAAAGGCCATGCCCTGGCCAGTTCCCACGATGTCTCTGTGTTGGTGGCACCCCAGATTGCACAATCTGTAGGCAAGCTATAGTTTTCTTAGTGGATATCCCGTTAGGCAGCTTGGGCCAGGCCTGAGAGCATGCTGGGCTCACCTAGGGAGCTGACTTGAACAGAGAGCATGGATTAATCCATTTTCTATGGTCAGTAACACCCTATCACAAACCTCGCAGTAAGGATTACATTCCAACCTATGGACCCTTGAGGGCACTCAAACCTGATCCAAATCAGAGCAAGCTGAGTTGGGGTCACCTTGGGTGTCACCTTGGGTGACAATATGATAAAAGTCTTAATCTGACTTTTGCGAGTGCGCACCTCCTGGTTGGAGTGGGGACAGAAAGTCTAAGGTCTTGTGTGAGACGCCTTCAGGCTGCAGCTGGTGCTTTTCTGCATGGTGATCCAGAACTATTGCACAACGCACTTGATCAGGTTTTTAGCAGTCCATTTCTCCTCCGCCTCCTGCTCCTTCTCTTGGTTCTCCTCTTCCTATTCTTGTTCGTCTTCTTCTTTCTCATCCTTTCTTCCCCTCTCCCACCCCTTCTCTTACCTTGAGACCTATCACTTCGCCCTGGAAGCAGCCCTTGGCCTGGTTTCCTGGGTACAGGAGACTGGTGAGCTAGGACTTGTGTAACATTTACTTGTTTATCCTCAAACACATTCTAGTAGGGAAAACACGACCCTCCCAATACGCATGAAATAATGATCTGTTCCCACGCATCAGCTCTTCCTACCCTTTGAAGCAAATCTAGACGCAATATCATTTCATATTCTCGGGGTTCAAAATGGTCATACCTCCACCATCAAAGTTTCTTCCCTTGACAATATGATAAAAGCTATGGATTTCTTCACCAGAAATAACGACCCACCTGCTTGCACTCCAAAGCCTGAGTATTAGTACAGGGGCATCCATGCAATGCATGAAACCCTGCCTGGACACTATGTTAAGTTCCCTGCTTTGAACTGAGGTGTGAGCTCTCGGGTTAATTCTTGGGCTTCCTTCAGTCAGAAGGACGCTTGCTAGGCCAGGGACAGTGTGGTGTTGTGCAGCAGAGCCCTGAAGCAAAGGTCTTTGCAAAGATAAAGTCAACTCTATCCTGGCTTATTATTTTAGTCCATCTCTGAAGAGTCACTTGCATGATTCTGAAACCCTAATTATTATTTTCATTGAAGGTGGAAGTAACTCAAACCCTTTAAAAGTGACACTTATGAATGTGTTATAAAAAGTTAGTCTGGGTTTATTGAAGTAGAAAATACTTTCAATGACTGTTAATGAAGGAATATGAGACTAAAGAGATATAGGGTTATAATACCAATGAACCAAAATTGAGAAAGATAAATTTTGACAAAAATGATTAAAATAATTGACACTAATATAATTTTTATATGTTCCAAATTTTTAAGGGACACGAAATTGCTTTGGAATTCAAGGTCAGCAGATTACGTGTTTAAATGCCAGCTCAGCTCCAACTCTGCCATTACTAACTTCCACGAAGCACTGAAAAATCTATGTGGGGTCTATTTCGATTTCCCAATTTTGCTCTTTCCAGGAGAGAGAAGTTAAAAGGGGAATCCATCACCAGCTTGGTATTTAAGCCCATAATCAAGATGACCAGCATAACATTTAAGGTACAGGCTGCTGAAAATAATTGATTGTCTTATGTGCAGTCAGTCTCATTAACATAGGACAAAGACTGCATGCATGGGGGAGTCAGCACAAAATCCGCTCGGTCAAAATTACTGAAAACCACATCATCAGGGAACTAAAGCAATGTCTTCTTTTCAGGGGCTGGGAAGGGACTTCCTTCATTCTTGTCAGCTGCCTTCACCCTGCCAACCCCAGCGTCCCCTCCTCCTCCTCCAGCCTATGCTTAGCTGTTAGAGAAGTGGAGCTGGGTGATCACTTTATTAACGGCCACTGATTAAGTCACTGTTCCCTGGGTGGCTTGACCTCATGCACCTTTGGGGATCCTCATCTATTTTCTGGAACTCTACCATTTTCAGCCTACTTCATTTAAAAGGATTATGGATAAGCCTGCTAACTTCTGACGTCTGTGTACCTCTCTTTCTCTACACACACACACACACACACACACACACGCACACTCACTTCCCCTCTGTGGAAGTTCAGAATTGCATTAAGGAATAACGCATATCCAGCATTTTTAGATATTTTGGTAGGAGGGTTTTCTGCTTGTCTTTACTTTGCCGTCTTTCCAAAACTACAAGGTTAGCCTAATTTTCTTCTCTCTCTGTCCAGCCATGTGTAGCGTTGGCTTCATCCGCAGGGTTCACAGCATAGTTTTTAGAGGGTTCTTGGCTTGCTACCAAGATGACACCAAGTTCCAGATCGGCCCTGCGATGAATCCAGAGGGAAAGTGATGCCCCCTTGTGGTAGCTTTACTAACAAAAGAAAGCATGTCACTTGTCTAGAAGCGCTTGGAGCCTCACTCACACACATTTGGGTTGATGCCACATTTGAGCTCTCCCTTCCAGTTGGGGACGGTATATACCAAGTGGCTGAAGGCTTCCCCTCTACCTACAGTGGTGGCCTAAACAGCCCAAGTCACATGGATGATTATGGACAAAAATTCAGTGTTGTTGTCCAGGACCAGAATTGTGCAGAGTCACCATCAGATAATACCTCAATTTCCTTTTTGCTCCTACCTGGCTCTATGTTTATTGAGATGTGTCCAATTCTTATACAAAAATATGGACTTTGCAGTGTGGGGTCAGCAAATGGGGATCAGAAAGAGGATACTGTTTCACAGTGTGTTTATTTTTATTTTGTGGCACAGAAGATAGAACCCAGGGCTTTTACATGCTAGGGATTGTGTTTCCCCTAAAATAAGACCCAGCTAGAAAATCATCAGCCTTGAAAACTAGAGTTCAAAAATGCCAGCCTGTCTTAGTTGCTTTCTCATTGCTGAGACAAAATACCCAACACTCAAAGTTAAAGGAGAAAAAGCCTATTTCAGCTCATAGTTGGTAGAGGGTTCAGTCCATAGTTGGCTGGTTCCAAGACAGGGTGGTATGGCAGAGGGGCATCACAGAGGAGAAATAATACATGGTGTGGCAGGCAGAAGGCAGCAAGCAGCAAGCAGCAAGCAGAAGCAGCAGCAAGCCTGCCTTCTTTCTGGTTTTTGGTTTATTTTTCCGGTACCGGGAACTGAACTCATGACCTTGCGCTTGCCAGGCAGGCGCTGTGCCCTGAGCTAAATCCCCAGCCCCTCTGCCTTCTTTCTGTCCCTTGATATTCCATCCAAGCTACAAGCCTATTGACAGGTGCCATCTATACCCGGGCTGGGGCTTCCATTAGCCACACCCTTAATCCCAGCATCACCCCCTTAATCCACATTCACAGATCATAATCCAGTCACCTTCGAAACTCCCCAACTCTGAGCCCATGAGGCTTTTTGGGGCCATCTAGATAGAAACCCTAACAGCACCAATGGCCTATCCTTGCCTTACAGAGAAGCCACCAAGCAAGAGAATAATGGTGTCAAGAAGTCTTTGAGGGGGCTGGGGCTTTAGCTCAGCGGTACAGCACCTGCCTGGCAAGCGCAAGGTCATGAGTTCGATTCCCGGTACCGGAAAAAAACAAAAACAAAAACAAACAGACAAACAAAAGAAGTCTTTGAATAAGGAATAAGTCTGTTATAAGAATTTAAAATTTTCTTTTTTTTGTTTTTTTTTTCTGGTACCGGGAATCGAACTCACGACCTTGCGCTTGCCAGGCAGGCGCTGTGCCGCTGAGCTAAATCCCCAGCCCCAGAATTTAAAATTTTCAAAGCCTAAAAGTCAAGATAAACACCAGGGAGTTTTTAATACCAGAAGTTAGTGATACTATTATAAATAATAACACTAATATAGTTATATAGCAATTTACCATTTACAGAACATTTTTGCACTCACTTGCATTTAATGGCATCTGTGAGGCTGCTATGAATTTCATTCCTAGTGGCAGAATCTCCGCAACCCTACCAAATAATCTAGTGATTTGTAGAAGTAACAGCTTGCTCTAAAATTAAAATGTTATTTTGCCATGTAAGTAAATATGTGCTTCAAATTACAGCACCATGACCAAAAATTTTATGTACAAAGATATTTCTAATAACAAAAAATTAGGAACTGCATGCATATACAACAGTATTAAAATGTTAAATAAGTCATCGTGTATCTACTGCATTGTATTGTGGGTGGATGATTTTAAAACGATGCCCTCAAAAATGTCTAAAGACAGGAAAAGTTCATCATTCATATGTGATAAAAATAATTTAAGAATCTGAATGAAACTGTGTTTGCAAAAGTAAACACATAGCGATGAGTAGTATATACAGTCATGTGGGGTAACGTGAAAAACATTTAGCAATATTTATGACAGATTACCAACCAAACAGAATGGCCACCATCTATTTTTAATTGGTGTGGTCATGTTAATGGTTGCAAAGTCTTTATCCTCAAAAGTTGACACTGTTTAGATGATGGGGGTAATTTTTCTTTTCCTCTTTTTTCTTTTAAAAAACTTGCCTCTTTCTCTGCCTTTAAATTCTAAAATAAGGGTGCTGAGGATACAATGATATGTCACACTTTCATTCACACACAATGCATCTACCACATGCCCAAAGGAATTAAATTAATGCTTAATAGGTGATAATGATATTTCTGATTTTGAGAGGTGCCAGGGTTACAGGTACCTTGGCATTAAGCTACATCTCCAGCTCCTTTAAAAAATTTTTACTTTCAGACAATGCCTCATTAAGTTACTAAGCTGCTCAAGCTAGGCTTGAATCTGCAGTCCTCCTGCCTCAGCCTCCAGAGGCTGGGATTATAGATAGGCATGCACCATTGTACCTAGCAAAGATACTTAATAGTATTCAATACGTGTTGCCATTTAAAATCCTTCAGGAGACAGTATCCGTGTGCTTGCTCTCTCCTTGCAGCCAGAGCTGTGAACTTTATGCCTCAGTACTATTCTCCTCAAATGGGACAGGAATGATCCCTACCTGCGTGAATTAAACAAGGTAAGGCACACAAAGCCCTTAACTCGGCACAAAGTAAGAACTCCATAAATATCAGTCGTCCCTGCATTTTGTTGTAATTATTTCACCTAGAGACAGAAATGTCTGCTACCAAGGAAGCCACAGAAAGAGGCCTGGGCTTGGTCATCAATAAGGCCCCCAAGATCTGTGCTTTAAGGGTAGAACGTGGGGACTTTGTCATTATTTTCATCCCATACCTGGTATTTACTGACACTGTGTATTTCAGATTTTCCTCAGGGAAGACCTCCTCCTGCAGACGCTGCTTTGCTCTGTAGTTCTGCTAAACCCCTCCCCAGTGGATTTCACATGCACTGCCCTCCTGTTGCGGACTTACGGTGACTCTGGAGTGCGTTGTGATTGGTGTGGATTTCCCCGGTGCACTGCGTGTTCAGCCCCTTCACGACATGGCTGGAGCGAAGTGCAATCTGTCCAGGGGTTTGAAGTTAACAGGGCGTGAGGCTAATAGGTTACTAATTGAGCAGTGAATGGCTGATTAGGAACCAGGGCGGGCTTGTGCCGGCAGTGCGGGTGCTGAACGCTTCCAGGGAACCCCATGTTGTGGTTTTGGAAGGAGTAAGCTCGCTTTGCTCTTTGCTGCGGCCCAGTGGGCCTCTGTCCTAAATTTTCTTTGCAAGTGGCAGCTACTGGGAAAGAAACCCCGATGTGTGGAGGGTAAAGAGATGGTGAGGGAAACCGCTGTCCCCCTCCCCGTCCCTGTCCCTGTCCCTGTCCCCATCCCTGTCCCTTCAAGATGGAGAAGGCCAGCAGGTGATTTCCGGGCAGCCAATCTCAGAGCGCTGGTGTGCACCCTGATAATTTGGGAAGCTGCTAACGTTTATGGAAATGGGAATGTATTTAAAATTCAAACATATAATTTCTACTATTTCCAACCTCCCATATGTGTATCACCAAAAGCGAATTTTGAGAGCAGTAGTGGGAAAATACTGCCCGGGGATAAAGGACAGTTACGGCAAGAGCCTGGTTTCTATAATAATTTATTTCACAATTCGAGCAAATTCCTTTCCCTAGGGGAGTATTTGACAGAGTAATTGCACTGGGGAACAGTCACTGTTTCGTTTCATTTTCTCTCTCTTTTTAAAACTTTCTTTGTAAAACAAAGTGTTATAAATCTTCCTGAAAGAACAATTTAAACAAGATATGTGGGCTGCGAGATATTGTTTTATATGTGTGTGTACATATATAATGGAGATACAGTTACCACTCATTAATTCATTCACTCATTCATTCCATTTTTGGGCTCCAGAATGACATTTGAACAAGGAAGAGAGAAAATTAGAAATACTCGAGGGTAGAGATACAATGAAATGCATCTTGGGAGATCTGGGGAGAGATCAGCAGCAAAAACCGTAGCCCTGAGATCAACTGGAATTGCACCTGACCAAGTTGTAATGATTTTATTAGTTGTAAAGCCTTTTGAAAAGTTAAAATTGCATTTATAATACAAATTCTTAAGCAATAACCTTCTATGAATGTGTGGGTTTCAGTGTTTGATACCTGTCCAGTGTAGAAAGCTGGGCTTGAAGGTAGAAGGATTTGGGAGGTTTGTGTTTCTCTCAATTTTGTCCTGTGAAACTCAGCAGCTACCCAGTTCTGGTTCTGGTTCTGGTTCTGGTTCCTTCTCGCCATCCTCAGGGGCTTGGAGCTGTTACAGACTCTTGTGACTTCCAGTAACCCTCTAATATGCTCAGTTGCCCCAAGGTTTGGGGTCTGCTGCTGCTGTCCCTCCTAGGAGCAGGTGCCTGTTGGTTACTTTCTCGCTGCTGAGACAAAATACCCAACACCCAGAGTTAAAGGAGGAAAGGGTTATTTAGCTCACAGTGTGTAGAGGTTTCAGTCCATAGTCAGCTGGCTCCAAGGCAGGGTGGCACATGGCAGAGGGCTGTCATAGAGGAGAAACAGTTCATGGTGAGCAGGCAGGAGACAGCAAAGCAACAAGCAGCAGCAGGCTGCCTTCTTTCTGTCCCTTTCTATCCCATTCAGGGCGCAAGCTTATTGACTGGTGTGCCTGCACCAAGGGTGGGGCACCCTTAATCCCAGCATCCCGCCCTTAACCCCAGCATCACACCCTTAATCATCCACATTCACACACCCTCTTCCAGTCACCTTTGAAGCTGTCCACCTATGACCACATGAGGCTTTGCAGGGAAATCTAGATAAAAGCCATAACAACATATAACTGGAAAGACAGCATAAATTAGAGGGATGGATTCTAGGAGTGGAAGAAATGTGGGGTCTGATGCATGATTCTTTAGTCATGAGGAACAATTACTTCATGGTGGGAAGTTTATTGGCGTGGACAAAGCACACCCACAGTGTTCACCTGCTGTATTCTGCAAGGAAAAGGAATATTTACAAAAATAAAAGCATCAGCTGGATTTCATGGCATACACCTGTGATCCCAGCACTCTGGGAGGCTGAGGCAGGAGGAAGTTCAAGACCAGCCTAGGCAATTTAGTAGCTGAAGGAGGTCCTGCCTCAAAATAAAAATAAAAAGCGGCTGGGGATGTAGTTGAGTGCAAAGATTCAATTCATAGTATAGCAATTTTTAAAAAAATTAAATCACAAAGAATTTAAAAAGTAAGAGAGAGAATTAAAGCCAATGGGAAAATAAGAAATAGTAATTTGGTTCTAAAGGAGAAGATTAACACTTCAAATAGAAGTTAAATCATTTATTATATTATTACTCTTATTTTCATTATTCTAAAGACAACATGATAGTAGAAAATTGGGAAATTGACCAAAATAATTCCCGTATTCCTTTCTTCAATAAGAAAAAATTTTTAAAAAATATGTGTTTCAATTGTCTCGTATTACAGATGAAATTAATACTTAGAAAATTTAACGGGCCTGCTTACAATGCCACAGCACACATAGGACTCAGGAAGATAGGGCATACTTTGAAGGAAGCCTGAAGAAAATGTTTTGATAAAAACTGCCCCACTAACCTCTGTCTAGTAGAGACTCCGTGACTGGAACTTTCTGTTGGGTCCCATTCTTTGTCTTGCTTGTAAGGATGAAAATTCTGTGTGCACAGCCTTCCAGTTGTAGAGCAAGCTTTAAAAGCAGAACAGAGCCACTGTCGGGTGTGATGGCACATTCTTATAATCCCAGCACTCTGGGAGGCTGAGGCAGGAGGACTGTAAGTTGGAGCCCAACCTGGGCAACTTAGTGAGGTCCTATCTCAAAATAAAAAATAATAAAAAGAGCTAAGGATGTAGCTCAGTGCAAAGGCCCTGAATTCAAAGGCCCGTACAAAAAAGTAAATAAATAAAAAAAAAATAAGGCTGGACTCCAGGATTCCTGACTCAAAGCCCCGTCGTTTCCTTGCTTGCTATTTTCATGACTGAACTGTTGGTGCTAGAATGGATACTGTTAGTGGTTTTTGCCTGCATGATTTTTCCTCTCAGATGAGAGTGGCAGCATCTTTTTATGTGATGGTAAATTTAGAAGGGAAAGAAAAGAGATGATTCTACGAGGTGTTTATAACAATCGCCTTCTAAATAGTAGTTGAGAAATCCAAGGTTCAGAAGCTTAAGTAAGGAGAGCAGTCAAGACAGGCCCTAACCCAGGTCCATGAAGTTGCAAGGCCTGTGCCATCAAACACAGCTCCTAGGCTGGGAAGTCTCGGGGAGTTGCCCTGCTTACTCTACAATCCTGCTCTACAATCTTGGACTTTGCTAGCCAGTGCTGATTAGGACCCTCCTTCCTCTTGGGGTCAAACTCTGCCTCAGAATCTCCTCAACTCCTGTTTCCAGGGAGCTGAGCACAGTGTGGAACCTTTCTGGCCCCTGAAATAACCTGGAAAAATACTCCTCACACATTTTTAGAAATTGACAAGGCCTGAATCATTAAAGAATAAAGTTAGGGTACTCTGAAATAATAATCTATCCCCTGCTGACTCTTAAACACTTGTGTCAGGCCTGTTGTTTTTCTCTCCTGTGAAAATTTAACTTTCTTATAAAGTTGTTTGCAAACTTCCCACTTTTGACTTGAAAGCTCACCCTCTGACTCATCCATTTATACGCTGCAGTTAGACGCCACTCCTGTGACCTGAGCATTCACCACCAGCGGCGCTTACACATGAGAGTGGGCCTGGTGCCTTAGGTGTCGGTCTCCCAGGCTTTAGGGGGTCTGGCCACGAGAGCAGAGGCAAAGGACGCGAGGAAGGATCAGCTGATTGAGATCTTCTTTCCTCTTGACATACTGGGGTGACCCTAGAGGTCTGGTCCCATGGCTAGTGCTACACCATGTGCATTTCCCAGGGCCTCTTGGGAAGTGAAGATACGACAATAACTATCATCTATCTCCAGGGTCAGACAGGGTTGATTTAAGTCTGGGCCTTGTTGTTCATCGCTGGCTGGCTAGTTACAGATTTTCTTGCGCTTTTGAGCTTTGCTCTCAGGGACCTGAGTAGAAGAAAGGGCAGCTTCCATGGTAGACAGGATAAATGAGAAGTGAGGTATGAACCCAAGATGACCCTGGGACGGTTCTGGAGGTTACAAGAGAGGGGTGTTTCCATAAACACCCTCTGGAAACATTCACATATTTGTGAGCACCACAAAATTCCTGGGAAGATCTCACTCTTTGCACACGTGAGCCCTCCCGGGATGGGCACCCTGGTTCTCTGCACGGGCACCCACTGACCAGTGTAATGGGTGAATCTTCTAACTCAGTGTTGGGCACACTCCGGCCACGGGGCTAAATCTCACCTGCACCCCTGTCTTTGTACGGACAGCCTTGGGGAGCACAGCAACCCTGATTCTTTATCTCCACACCTGACCCTTGTTCTAAGAGGAGGGAGGTTTGGGGGCCAGTGGCTGATCTGCTCTGCTCTCTTGATGAAGCTGTTCATGGTGGTTCCCCTGCTCCACGTCCCCTAGCAGCACCAGTGACTTTAAAACTTGTCTTTGTTTTTTTTTTTCGGTACCGGGAATCGAACTCACGACCTTGCACTTGCCAGGCAGGCGCTGTGCCGCTGAGCTAAATCCCCAGCCCCAAGCTTGTCCTAGGAAGGATGCGCTGTGGACACCGACAGCAGATCAGCGGGGTGCACTTGGGATCAGTGGGGTGTGTCCATTCAGGTCCGGCTGCATGGACAGCAAACCTAGAGAATGCACTGTCCAGGTCTCCGTCCTGGTCACCAGCAGCTGCATCTCAAATGCAGGGACTCTGAGGGCCATAGGGTGGCTTGGGGGCCACAGTTTACTAACCCCCCCTTGGGCCTATTGCCTGGCTCAGCTGAGCTCTT